ACGGGCAGGCGACGATATCCGAGGGACGATGGTAGCCCGCGGCTGGCGTCCGAAATAAGCGGGACCGGCGACGGTGTCGCCGGAAACAGCGGTAGTTTTGGCCCGAGCCCGTGAAGAAATGAGCGGTCCCTGCTCCGAAAGCGAAGACAAAACGTGCACATATCTAGTCTCCAAAGACGCGACAGGAGACATCATGCGGGACGCATCCGAAGTCAATGAGGAAGCAGACCCTGAAGATGCGAGAACAGGCGAGACGATGAAGACNAACACCCGCTTGATCGACACCATCAATGCAGTCGGAGCCGGTTTTGTCCGTGTCTTGTGCTGGTAAAGGCAACCGCGAAAGAAAATCCGCGTTGCCGTTTGCCGAACCTTATTGGTATTTTAGGGTGTAGGTGAAGTTGGACAGGAATTCGAGCCATCGTTGCACCCTAGCGTTGTGTTCCCCAACCTTGCAAATGCTCTCCAATGCTTTGTGGTCCGAATAGATGATGAACTTGGTCGCCCACAGAAAACCGCGAAGGCGTTTGATGGCCCAAACAATGCCACCAGCCTCCAGATCCAAAACGGTCCAGTTACGCTCTGCAGGAAGAGTAGCGCGGCTGATGTACACGATGGGTCTCACCGAGCCATCGAGCTGTTCTTGTTCCAAGGAGGCGCCAAAGCCGTCGATACACGCGTCGGAACAGAAACGAAGAGGACGGCTGTTGTCCTCGATTGCTGCCCAATCCGGGAAGACCAAAATCGGGGGGCGAGCGAGTTCGCTTATCAACGTTTTGACAACCATGACCATGCCCGGGGTGAACTTGAAGGGGACGCCTTGTTTGAGAAGAAAGTTGAGAGGCCGCACCTTGTTGGCGAGATTCTTGAGGAATATCCGGTAGTAGCTGAGTCCACCGAGAAGGCTCGGAAGCTGCTCAACATTCGTCGGCGGCGGCATGTGCGTGAGCGCCCTAACCTTGACGCCATCAGGGCTAACACCTGCCGGAGAGATGGTGTGACCGAGAAAGTTGGCGTGCGTGGCGCCGACGCGAGCCTTCCCTCGAGACAGTTTGAGGTTGTACTGTCGCATTCGTTTGAGGAACTCGGTCAAGTTCAGCACGTGTCCCAGAGGTTCCTCATCGAAACAGATGACATCGTCCAGATAAGCCAGCACACGCTCCAGACCGTGTACCACTCTGTTGATGACCTTGACGAACCAAGACGGACTTGCGTTGGCGCCCTGCGGCATCCGAAGCCATTCGAACAACTGCGTGGGAGTGGAAAAGGCGGTGAGCGGGACAGTGTCTTCATCACAAACGAGCTGGTGGAAAGCCGAGTTGAGGTCGAAGATGGAGAACACTTTCCCGGTGAACAGAGAATCCAAGATACCGTCCACTCGAGGGAGAGGTTGTCCATCCAAATCCACCAGAGCGTTGAGACGTATGTAGTTGACGGTGATGCGAACAGATCCGTCCTTCTTGGAGATGACAACCAAAGGAGAAGCCCACGGAGATGTGGAATGTTGAATGAGCCCTGCCGCCAAATACTGGATTTTTGCATCAACGGGTTGATACGATACGGGCGCGATGCAACGGGCTTCGTCCCTGCTGGAACAGCAAGCGTGAACGGCATTATGTTGCAGGAACCAAAATCGTTTTTCGAAGTAGAGAACACGTCAGAATACTCCACATGGGCGTCGGCCAAACGATCAATAGCCTCCGGTGTCCATCCCGGATTGTGTNTTTTGCATCAACGGGTTGATACGATACGGGCGCGATGCAACGGGCTTCGTCCCTGCTAGAAACGAACGCATCTGGGGACGAAAGCGCACCCACTTCGGGTTTGAACGGTACCAGATACTCTTCAATCAGCGCAGGCATGCCAGACGAACGAACGAGCTCCACCTCAACGAGTGCAGGCTTCGGCCCCAAAGAAATTCCCGAGCTCCCTGCATATTCAAGGTGAAACGAGGAGGGAGGAGCGTCGTCGTGTGTAGCGTAAACGCAAGCGCCAGCTGTAAAACGCGGAGAGAGCGTGAGCTCGCCCATAACCCGGCCGTCCGGTCCAGGGTGGGGGAGGGTGGTGAACACGCGAGAGTTGAAGCTCATCCAGCTATCACGACTCAGAAGCACGGCGTGCCCCATGGCGGCGTCTGGAACAACACAGGCCCAGACCGCCAAGGAAGCGGTAGCTCTATCTCCATGGAGAAAATTAACGGTGAGACGAATCGACCGGGTGGTCACAAGGGCGGGTCCATCACCAAACCCACCCCAACGACGAGAGGGCGAAACACGAACGCTGCCAGCTGTCAGGGCTCCGGCAGCTATCATGGCGGTGACCACGGAGTCGGAAACGAAGGATGCAGGAGACCCAGAGTCCAGAAGCGCCACTCGCGCGAGTTGAGAAGTGGCTGTAGGCCCTCCATGCAGCAGGACCCGGGTGGTGTATGAGTACGAGTCCAACAGGAGCNGGGCTCCGGCAGCTATCATGGCGGTGACCATGGAGTCGGAAACGAAGGAATCAGGAGACCCAGAGTCCAGAAGCGCCACTCGCGCGAGTTGAGAAGTGGCTGT